ATTCTGTACCTATAAGTACGTTATTGTACGTATCGTAGGTTATCGTACGTATGTGTACGTTATAGGTAGGCCATTCGCGTAAATGCGAATAAAAATTGTCAGTATCGGTTCTCATGAAAGTAAAAGAATACATAACGGAATTTCTTCTGAAGATAAAGAATTACGGATGGTTTGTCTGCAATTCCTCCCAATATATTAACTACAGTAAACAAACCTACTTTTCCCATTAAATTACGAAAATATTATTATGTTGTAGAATGTTTTAATTGGTCAGTTTGTAGTGAATGTGGTCTTATATACTCCAAGTTTATTATTATTATTATTTTTATTATTATTATTATTATTATTATTATTATTATTATTATTATTATTATTGTTGTTGTTGTTGTTGTTGTTGTTTTTTTTATCTCAAAGGAAATGAAAACGTATGGTACGAAATGTTTATGGGATCATGGTCCGTTCCTCTATTAACCTATTTAATTGAAGCCTTGTTGTTAAATAATATTGTGAATTGGTTCATGAATATTTAAATAAATGTACATATTTGTTCACAAACCATTTGTTAGCCTGATGTAAATTGATTGATTGTTTAGTGATTCCGGGAACGTCAACTGATTTTAGTGATTCCTGTCATAGTCCCCTATGCAAGTGTAGCGCATATTTTTTTCTCGGGAGGTGACGGTGGTCTTTCCCTCGCTGTATGGCGAGATCCGGCGGCGACCTAGCGGTGTTTCCCCAACCAGGTATCTCCCACCAGCGGGGCACCGCCCCAGCCAGGACAAGTTCTAAGCTCCAGACTGGTCTCCCGGGATGTGTGCTTGTGTAGCGCAGATAAGTGTGTGAGTGTAAAGGGACAGGATAGGACAAGGAGGAGGTAGGAGTGATGGCGCGCAGTCCGTGGCCTGTTTGTTAGGGTAGTTCGACTGATGATGATCGGAGAAACTACGGGAAACTACCGATCAGAACAGCCGGCCGCTAGAATTCTCCAAACAGCGAAAGAATTCTACCTAGCTGACAGGTTAGTGTCCAAAATCCTGCCACCGTCGGGACTCGAACCTAGGACCTCTTGGTGAGAAGGACTGTAGTAACATCAGTCGATGTCCTGAGCCATCTCTCCCGATCCAGATGTACAAATCTTAATAAAAATAGATCCTGCTGTTCAGTGAACCGGTTTAACGACTTACAGCAATTTACAGGATACGTACCCTAATTACAATTTTGAGTATTATTTTCTCTCCTTACTATATATTTATACCGTAAAGAGAAAGTATTGTAATGCTGCGGCAGAAATCGGCAATTTTTCGACCGAAAAATTCGTATTATGGGGCTTTGTAATCGAAAAATTGGATAAAAATGTTCAAATATGTAATAAATTACTTCGTTCCTCTAACACCTTCTGTAGTCGGAATTCACGATTTGTGGGTCAAACAAAAATATTGAAATTGATTGACGGGAAAAAGTGAGTTTGTTCTTCGTCCGTCTGTCTCACCGTTTCCCCGTCTTTTTGCATGCATGTATATTTTTGGTCAATTGTAGGGAATACACCTTGACGAACTTCAGGTCCTGCAAGTTTTGAAACGGATATTTTGATTGTGGAGGATATTTTACATTAAGGCACACCATCATTTTCAAACATTTCTCATAAGTGGCTCTAAGCTTTTTGAGGGATTCAGGCCCCCTCATTGAAGGGAATGGCAGAGTAGACGTGTGCAAGAACATAGTTATTGTGTAGTATATATGTGCAAAGGAGAAATAAAAATATGTTCCGTGCCTTTTGTGAATACTGTGTATTGTCGATGACAAAGTGTATTGTTCTGCAAGCTTTGTCCATAGGCCTTTCTAATAGTATTAATAACCCCTTTTCTTTTCCTCTCGTCAATAGTTCACGGCATTATAATAAATTTACTGCCTGAACGTACTCTCGCATTCCGAAGTTAATATGATTTTTCCGCAGACTTCTCAGAAACTGCAGAAACAAAACAAACCATTTTTTCGGACTGTCTCAGCTCGTGCCAGAATTGGTCAGATGCTGTTAGACATCGGCATTATTTGTGCATTCTCGGGTGTGTTCGGACCCTCTCTTTCAAAATAACAGTAGTTCCTAATCCCTGCCGTCTGCAAATGTGTAGTGGAAGAGTAATACAAGGTGTGTTAAAAAAATTGGACTGGGCTCCTAGCTCCCAATCTGCTTGACGGACTGAGACGAGACACACTGGGCCATTTGGTGGTGTTCATCAGTGGCGATTCGTGAACAAATGTTCAGGGTAAGCAAACCAGATTACTGAATAGAGACGGATCCTGAGAAGGGGCATAGGGAGCCATGCCCCACCTCAATCCAATTTTTTAAAGAAATACGGTGTACTTAGCAGTTAATTCAGTCAAAATTAACGTACAATCAGATTTAAATATAAAAATCAAGGTGTACTAATAATATGCAGCGTGCTAATTTAAAATGAAAAAAATACTTCCTATATAATAATCACTTTCTCTGCTTGTTAACTCATCAATGAACAGTAAACACGCATGAGTGAGGTATAATCACATGCTACTGTTCTAAAGCTCACTACAGGGCCTTTTCTCAGAATTCGGTGGGATGCGAAGCAGCTCCCGGTCGTGCCAACCCGGAGAGACGCAAGCGGGTTCAAGTCTCCGCGGGAACAGACGAGAATGATCGCATGGCGTACAGCTCGTTAGAAAACGCTTGTAATGGAAGTATAACTTGTGTCAAGATAATGAAATTTTCATAATAAACTTCCAGAAGAATAATACTTACACTTAAAATTGAAGTTTTGTCTAAAACAATCAAAAAACATTAGCCCAAAAAGTGAGATTTTGAGATACTAGAACTATTGCTAGAGTTTTATAGCCGCCTTTTGCTGACTGTGATATTGTCAACAAAATCAGCCCCTGTCCGCAGTTATTAGCTTCGAAAGTATGAGTGATTTCGGTAAAAGAACCGTAGTCCAGAGTCTTTTTTGGTAAAAGAATCATAGTCCAGAGCTTTTCGGTAAAAGAACCATAGTCATTTACGTGTAGGTTTTCTTCGTGATGATTTCTCAAGCATGGCTTATCTCAATCTATAACGGAAGAAAACGTTTGTCTTTTTTAATGTGGTTATTCTGTATAATCTGTATTTTTGTCGTGGAAGTTTGGTGATAGTGAATAACTTGTTCTTGTGGCATATACTTCCTTTGAGGTGTGAATCTGAGCAATCAAGGGAGAAAGTAACAGCTAAGAATTGAATTTTACCTCAGACGTAGAAAGAAAGAGAGGAAAGAGGATGTAGTAAGAGCAAAGAAGATTAAATGAGAAGCACATTATAATCAGAAAGGAATCTTCAGAAGTGGTCTAAATACTTAGTCCCCTCCTAACAGAGATTTGTATCTAAATTTGTCATTCGTGTCAGATTCTAAGGCACGCTGCGATGAGGAAAAGATCTGGATTGTGGAAGGATCGAAAATTAAAATTCCATCATGACAACCCGCTGAGGCACGCATCTTTCCTTGTGACCCAGCATTTGGCGAAAACTGTAATCCCACAGTCTTCCTGTACCCTAGATATGGTTTCAACCGATTTTTCTCTGTTTCCGAGTTTAGACCGCCGATTTTATTCACTCGGGAACACTGAGAGAAATTCTAGCGGACTTTAAAGTGATCCAGAAAGCAGCGATTCAGACGGGAATGGAAAGCTAGAAGAAACGTTGGAAGCGGTATGTGGCTAGCCAAGGGTACTTCGATAAACACAATTGAGGTGTGTGTGTGTATATATTCTAAAAACTGGCGCAGTTCTCATTTTCGGATAACTCTATATTTTTGAATATTGTACCGGTGGCTTAGGTGGCTCAAGGAATCATCTGATGTCACTGACCGGGAAGTCCTTGAGTTCGGGTCCCGTCATGGTTACCGACAAGCTGTAAGTAGATAGGTCGAATTCACCCGCTGTCTAGATGAGAATTCTAGTGGCCAGCTACTTTGATCGGTAATTTTCCATGGTTTCTCCGGTAACGCCGGAGCAGTACTCTAACAAACGGGCAACGCGCGATTTTTCCTTCCTCTTCCTTGTCCTATTCTTACATCTTCATTCCACACACTACACTTACACGCACTACACTACCACACTTGTCGGGAGACAAGTCGGGAGCTTAGAACTTGTCCCGGCAGGAGACGTGGCTCGCTAGTGGTCCTGGTTGTGAGAAAACCCTGCAAGCTGACGCGTATGCTGACGCCGAATCTCCCTATCCTTTGGGGAAGATCGATCAACCAAATTCAGTGTTGCTAACCACTAATAGCATTGCAAAATACAATATTTATGATAGAGATATTTTCCTTAATGGAAGTTTCACTGTATTATAATATTGCGTAACTGTTACAAATAATGCTAGAAAACATTCTGTTCAGCGCCATTTTTTTGATTCAATTTTCAATTAGTAATTGTATGTTGAAAGATTCATATTATTTTATCATGGTATTTCTGAATTTCATTTAGAAAACCTATTTTAAGAGTAAACCATAGCTATCTATTTGTAAGTTGATGTTGCGAGCATGACAACCTAGAATACAAGAGCAATCGGTTCGTTTCGTTCATGCTTCGTTCTGATTCGTTTTTTTTTTGTTGTTGTTGTCAATGATGATAATGAACAGTGCTTTATTGATAACAATAAAGGCAAATCAATGAATACTATATATTACACCTATAACATGAAATATTTAAATTTTTGCTTGAAAATTATTGTCTTACATTGTTTGTAAAATGGAGTATGAAAATAGCGCCTTGACGTCACGATCAAAGCTGACATAGTGGAGTATTGAACACAAAGATTTAGGCATGTTTATCATGCTGTAGTCAAATGGATGGTACGTTTATTTCATAACTTGTAAAATTAATAATCAAATTTTATTGTGTTCACACTTTTTGCGACGCTATTCGCTTTTACTTGAAAGGAAGGGAAAAATTAGTTGTATTGGGTGTTCAATTGTAAAACCGGTTTTGCTAGCGTGGCAGCATTGGATCAAGGAGGAGTCAGGGATTGGAATCATTCGCTTCGTTTCTCATTTGTTCGTTTCGTTTGCATGGACACTGCTAGGTATTGCTGAAGTTCTGACGGCTGTTTTGTTTCTTTGCGTATCGTTGTCTTGTCTGTATCGTTTGTATAGGGTGGTGATCATTTTCCGAAGTGTTTTTCAGAGTTGTCAAGTAACGTATTCTCTGGTATTTGGCGTGGCGAAGATAAATAATCCCAGTGCAGTAGCATGGAAAAGAGTGAATTATTACATGAAAAGGAAAATGACAGTGTCACAAGTGGAGACCAAAGACGCCGCTATCTGAAAAATTTAACTAGGACCGAATTAACAGCATTGAAAAAGGAAGTTCGTGCGAAAATAGCACGCAGTGATGCTTCTTTGACACAGCTTGATAAAGGTTTTGAAGATTTAAAAGTTTGCGTAGTCAGAATGGCTAACGTGATCGAAGAGTGTCAAAATCTAGTTAAAGCTGAAAGGCAAGAAAGCAGAGATTTACGTCATATATTGCGAGATACTACTTGCTCAGGCTCTTGCAAGACAAATGTAGTCATTCCAATGGTAGCTGGCATTCCACTCAAAAAAGCTCGAATTTCACTGAAGCGGCTGGGACCATCTTATTCACCTTATTACACCAGAGGAACTTCTGCTACTGCAACCAGCACGTCAAATGATTCTTCTGACAGACCTACATCTACATCAAATGATGAAGATACAAATGGATCAGATGCTGGTCCATCATCATCAAGAGCTCATACCAGACTGTAGGTTGCTGGTTTCTTTTCGGTAATGCTGGTTTAGATAAATGTTCCGTATAAAAATTTGGTTTATCCACTCTTTGCCAAGGGAGTAACAAGAAGTCATATTTTCTATTAATATCATAGCTTTTAAAGTGATTGTGTTGTTATTTCCATACAGATTTCTCTTAAATGTCAAAGAAAGGTGTTAAACCGGTTTTTATGTATATTTCTGTGCAATTTTTTGTTCTCTAAAGTATTACCGAATCCCATTCTCCGTAATAGTATGAATTGCTCTGGTAACTTGGATCAAAATTAACGAAGTGTGTTTGCTTAAAACTATTCGCTTCAGGTTATATGTAAATTACTTTTTTGTGCAATTGTGATCTACAATTAAATCAAACTATGTGGAGAAAATTTGTTATATGAGAAAAAAATGAGTTTTGGAGTGTGAGCTCTCTTGAATGATGCTATGAAAAAAAAACTCTCTTGCCAAAGGAATTAAATCTAAATGTTTTTGAACATTACACCTGTCAGATATTTAAATGTATGTTTGGAAATATTTGCTTTGTTCTTTCTAAGAAAACAATTTTTTCAGAAAATTGTCTTTTCAACAGCTGCTGTATGGAACAATATTAATTAGTGAAACTTACCCCAAAAGTTTCAAGCAAACAAGCTTCGTTGTACAGTATTGGATTATATTATTGAAGTTTGTTCATATCCAGAACATATTTCAATAAAGTTTCTTCCTTTTTTCGTGTTTATTGTTAATATTAACTTTATTCTCCATTGAGAATTTTTGTTGGATAAATTAATTTTTACTCAATTTTTCTATACATGTTAATTAATTCAAATAGTTAATTCTGATGTAGTAGTTCACTCTGGTTGAAGTGGATGATATTTAGAACAAATGCATATAATTTGTGTTAATATTGTGAATGCATATAGTTTGTGTTAACATTGTATACATTCTTTTTCTGTGTTTGAAAAGAATGTGATTGATTTATCATCTTTCCACCTAAACTTTCCAAGTTACAGTACCAATCATATGACTGTCTAGTCGAGAAGGACATGAATCTTGATACAGTTGAATAATTTTGACCATGTGGAGAAATTAAATAAAAACCCTTGAAACTGCATTATTTGTATCATTAAATGCACATGAATACAGTTGTACTAAATGTTATAAGTGTAATAAAGATGTGAATTAATGTTCAAGCAGCTCTTTTGCAATATACTGACAGAAAATAGGAGGAGAAATGTGAAATGGCAGTATGTTTGAAACCCTTATTTATGAATAAAAACAGTAAGATTGATAAAATTCTAGACACAATAATCTGTGTGAATTAATTGTAAAGCTTTATATGTTGATATACAATATTAGGTAATTGAACTTGTATTTCTGTGACAAGATGTTAGCCAGTAGGGAAGGTAATGTGATAAGTTTCAGGATGAGCAATATTTGTGAAATGGTATTTGAAGGATGAACAAGTCTTACAGTGACATCATTACCTGGGAATTGTGGTCTGGAGATGTGTAATACTGCAGGTTAATGTTGAAGCATCTCCAGCAGCAAATGACATTAAGGAGGTGAGTATTGTATTGTGGTATGAAAACTGACTAGTTATTGATGTGGGCAATTGTGTCTAAAATTTTCTCTCAGAAATTGATCTGGAAAAAAACGTTCAATTTTTTTGTGCAAGTGTGTTAAAAGGTATGCTTAAGAGATAGTATTGGATTATAATTGGATTAATTCCTTATTTGTTTTACTACATCTGATTTTCATTAAAATTAGCTTTGGCTATTCATCTTAATCCATGCCTTCCACATCTTATTTATGATGAAAATATTCCTTTTATTATTATTCAAATCCTTTGAAACATTTTTCATTCCTGCTTTTTCAAGCATTGCATTGTATACCTGCAAAGCAATGCAGCATTGCAATTAGTCTAGTGTGTGTAATGAAAGAGAATTTCAATTTCCATAGGTAGACAGAGGTTCTCTAAAAGCATATTATATCAAAAGATATTCTTTTGTTTTCTAGAGAATTTCCTACTGGAATGATTTAAATAATGGAGGGAAATAAAATCCGGAAGAGTAGTTCATGTTACATCTTAAATACATTGTGTCCACTAGGATGTGAAAATTGAGTGACTCAAGCAGTGTTTATAATTTACAGGCTTGCAACTAATGAAGTAATTAATAAAAATAGTTTTTTCTAAAAGGGCATTTAAATTTTTGCCATTTTATAAAGTCAAGCTACAGATTATTGGAAAGTTGTGGCAAAGAAGCCAGTATGTCGTACAGCCTGCATGCTTTTTGCGTTTCATAATATTAATTTAAAAGTGTTTGATGTCTCTGTTTCAAGTTGTGTTTTCAAATTGAGCCGTGGCTGCTTTGTTTTTCTCATCCGTGTGTTGAACTTCTTAAACCTGCTGTTTGCTTGAATATTGTTTTATTATCTTAATAAAGAGAAATTCTAATTTGTTGACTGTTGTCATTTTAATTCTTATTTTATACATTCATCATTAGTCATTTTTCCACCACATTTATTGTAGCCTTTTTGTTGTGACATTTCCTTTGAACAAGTTTTACTATTTTTCTACCATTCCATGCTTTTTGCTGATAACTTGCTTCATGCCAAGGTTTTCATTTCAGAACATGTGCTGCTGTTTGTTGGCATTTGCAATGGGCCAGTTGCTAATTAAACTTTCGAAAATTCATGCTCTTCTGAAGTCGATGGAAACTCAAGACTGATGTGAGTAGCCTGTCGAATATTAATCATTTTCTGAAGATTTTTGTTTAATAATATCTGGGAAAACTGGAGAGTGTTTTTTTCATGTGTGAAAATATTGTTGTGAATTAATGTATTAGTGTTTGAAAGTCTTTTTTCTGAACATTTTTGTCATTGTGCAAGACTATGAAAGTGAGTTCTTTAACTGAAATGCTCTTTGTTCTTTTCTTCATTATAATAATGAAATGGTACATCCTTCATTACTACTTTTTAAATTATGTTCAATAATATGTATAGAGTTAAAAAAATTCCAAATATTTTTTGAATCAAATTTTTATCCAACAGAACTGTAATGAACTATATTGTTTTTGTATTAAAGTATTGAATCATTGTTTCAATAAGATGCATAGTCTTGAAAATTAAAATTGATTGCTGGTCTAGTTAAAGTACATCGGAGCACAAATGTGCATTAAACGTCTATCAGTTTTTGCGGTTTGCAATTATTTTCAAATGTTCTTGAAGTAGATAGTAAATAGTAAAATTAAAAAGTAATGGAAAACTATTTTATTGTATTGTTTTCTCACAAGGATTATTTAAACAAACGTTTTGGTATATTCTCACGTACAAAAATAATTTGTTATTCTCATCATTCTTCAGTAATCTTAGATTATTGAATGTGATTAGAGTTCATGCATCATTACTTGCAATTAGACATTTGAAAATAAGATTTGCTTTGTTACCAGTTGCTTTCAAGTTAAACATCATTTTTGGGAAATGAAAACTTGTATACCCTTCATGTAGCTGGTTTCAATTGGAATATTGTATTTTTATTTACATGTTAGTATTGATGTTACAAAGTATGACATGGCCTTTCCTTGTGGCTGGGTACCAATGTTCTAGTACTGGTCTCTCAGTGTGGAATTTGTGCGGGACTAATGGAGCTTGGCTTTTCACTATGTATTTCTATTTGCCTTGCTGTTCATTGTACCATTGGGTTTAGTTCATTTTCAGATTTAAATTCAGTTTTAATTGACTATGTCATCAAACATTCTGCTTTATCACTTTACTTACTTTGTTATGTAATTGGAAATACTATGATGACAATTGAGTAACATTATTTTGGTTTAGCTTACTGTGCCATTATCTTGTTTACAATTTTGATAATTATAATTGTAGCACCTTTAGAATTGGGTTGTTGTGATATATCTTGACATCTGTGTACGTAATGAACGAAATATGGAAATTCATCTATTCGATTGCAGTTTTTGAGCTATGCTCAGAAAACTGCTATCACAAATCCTGGAAATATTTATATGTTTGTGACCAGGAATTTGTTGCTAGGCATTTTCTAAATATTTATAAATGCAAAAGCATGGAAGCAAGGAAGATGTTCTAAAGGTAATGAAAATACTGTTGTAAGAGGAGAATGAAATATTTCATTATTGATTTGCTATCTTCTGTAGTTATCAACTTATGGTATTATTGGCTTAGATTTTACCTGTAATAACCAATTCCTTCACGTCTTCTTAACAGGAATTTTCATTTCTTGGATATTCCTAATCCACTCCTTGATGTACATTTGGGTAGGTAGATTCACACATTTCGGCCTCATTTCTTTTTTCTTCTGCCTACCATTCCTTCGTGAATTTGGACCCAACTAACCTTCACACCCAATTTTTTTTTCTCTCTGGTGGGAAACTTTCAATTTTTGAACTATCAAGTTGACTTTCAACTGAAAAAAGGCTGCATGGATTTTTGAGTCATGATAGATGTATTAATTGCTAATATTTCATTTAAAGAGTTTCACTTTCGGTTTTGGTTCTTGTCATTGAAGTAAGAAGCATATGATATTCTTTACTTGTAAAAATGTGAGTACCATGTTAGAATTTATGGTATTTAAGTTGACATGCACGGGGGTGTCCAGAGAAAACCAGGGTCCGGGGAAGTAGATCCATGGAGACCCCTGATTTTAAATGTAGAATTTCCTCCTCCTCCTAATTCTTGAACAGAATTTATTGTTCCATGCATCAGAAATAACTTTTAGCACATTTTTGTAAAATCCTTTTGAATGAAAAAATATCAGGATCTCAATTAAGCTGGAACCGGAGACAAGTTTGTTTGTGTACACCTGAAACAACTGAGAGCTGCTGCTCTAAGATGGCTGCCCCCCCCCCC